TACAAAACTGACACTCAATTCCCTTGGTCAGGAACGAGCTCTCCCTACAGACTCCGCATCGGGGCCCGTTACGGGAACATTCTTCGCACAGGTTCTCTTTAAATGAGAAGCAATACTCACAAATATCACCTCTGCATCCCTTGCAGTGAAACTCAGCCATGAGATGATTATATCCATCACCTATGTATTTACATCTGGGTTTACCAGGGTTGCCAGGGTTCCCACCGGCGGCACTCTTCTTCCCCCCTCCTCCTGGGCTTTGCCAATCTGGAGGAGGAGGTGGTGGAGGATCATCATCAGGAGGGCCAGGTGGAGGTGGCCGCTTATCCGGAGTACGGGATGCGGCACGCCTTCCTCCTGTGTGATCGTTCAATCCACTGCCTGAGGCCTGGTTCGAGTGCCTTGACTCTAGGGAGTTAATTCTCTGGGCTGTATTACCCAGCACCTCGAGCATTTGCTCGAGCTTACTGTTGAGCGTAGTCGAAACGGCCATGTTATGAGTATTTTGCTTGTCCGTGTAGGATTTGCAGTCCCTTGACTTTATCTCAAGGTTGGCTTGTGTCTCATAAAGTTGGTCTTTAACCCACCTTATGCCGTCCCTATCATTAGTCCAGCGTTGTTCGACATCTTGCATCATCCTATCAATCTGACATACCCTAGTGGACAGGTCCTCGATTTTGAGGTTTACTCCACCAATCGCAGGATGGTTGGATTGGCTCTCCACTAGAGATCTCTCGATCATATCAACACGAGCTATAAGCCCGGTTACACGATCAGAAAGAGATTCAAAAACAGTTTGAACCTGGGTGATGGAGCGAGCAACATCATCATAGCTGGCTCGCTCACTTAGGGCATCGCCCATGCTTATCATGCGATCGGCAACGATCTTGACGCGTTGGCCAAGCTCGGTCACGATGTCCTTACTCCCTTGTGATAGCTGCATGGCCGCGTTCGCAGCCTGCGTACACGTGCTACTCACATGGACACATTGTTCGTATTTGGCCCTCCACGAGTCGACCTCAGTGGAGAGCTGCTTGATGCATTGATCACTTCTATCATTCCTACGCCCAAGGTCTTCGACCTTAGCAACCAGGCGATGAATGATCGCACTTACCGAAGAATCCACCGTCCCTCTTTCAAGGGCTGTCACAAGATCAGCAACCTCGTTGGGTTGCTCCTCACTCGCAGGACCATATCCTGATCCGCGATCTCGAGGAGTGGACAAATCGACCATGATTGGATTAGATCTCGGAGGAGTTCTGAAATCATCCTGGACGGCCGTTGATGGCCGTGGGAACTCACTCCGATTAGGAGATTGACTCTGATACGGAGCAGACCTTCTTGCATCACGAACCGCAGAGGGTTGTGTCATGCCCAGGCCTTTGGCAACGGACAGCTTAGGAACAACAGGCCTATCCGTTCGCATAGGAACATCAGGTCTCGAGTCAGCAATAACAATGTCATTCAAGTCGGTCGCATTGGACACCCTAGACTCAGACATCGATTCAATATCAGTTCCATTACTGATGGTATGATTGCGACTAGAACTTGATGCCATCATGGACTCAGATTCTATCGGAACATTAGCTCCGTCCATATTGTCCAGAGCGAAAATGGAAGCCGCGTTGGGCGTAGGGTGAACACTTCGCATGTTCAAGCCACTAGACCTATTAAATTCCTCCTGGAATGCCTCGATCCCATCAAGCACGTTAACGAGTGTGTCCGCGTTTAACGGGTCTCTTCCAATGATTGACGCTGGGTCACCTGATCGGCCGCGTCCTGAGTCCCGCGCACTGGGGTTACCCCTGTGAGCAGTTTCCCGATCCATCCCCCTTGCCCTATGCGATCCAGTCGAATTTGACCTTGATCGTTTGCTTGGGGTTGGACTGGGATGCAAATCCAATCTATCTACGATATTACGCTCCCTAGGGCTCTCAAATCCCGAAAGTCCCGGGGGAGGAGACATGTTCCTCATGGTCGGGTTTACCGACGGTCTTGGCCTGACGTTGCGGCTGGCCACATCAGGATTGAGATTCTCAATCGACAAAGGTAGCATGAATTCATCACTTCCAGCAGCTCGTTTTGGGCTCTGGAAATGCGGGAAAGATGACGGGGCGGGTGGCCCTGGCATCCATGCGGCAAAATCCATACCAAAAATGTTTCCGTCGTTGGGCCATGAGGCTCTCCAATCGAGTCCACCGGATTCGGTCGGCAGATGAGCGTCAAATGCAACTCCACTGGATGTACCAGGTTCGGGATTACCGAGCGCTTGAAAAACTATACTGCTGGTTGGCACAGGTCTACTGCTACTTCGAGAGTCACGAAGCTCGGACTGACCAATATTCATCAGCTCCGGGAAAGATGAGGATTGAGCTCCAGGTGCAATACCGGGCTCGTCATCATCACGTCCTGAGACGGAATCATCATGGTCAGGACGATTAGCCCCATGACCCTGAGAGCGATTAGCTCTTGAGGCATTAGACGATAGCTCATCAGTGCGAGTAGCACTGGATCTTCCTGAAGGCATTGCTTCTGAAAAAGAGTGGTCCGACAAAAAGTCAGGACCGGAAAACATCGGCTGTCCGGGCACTTGGTCGTCATTCACAACGTCCAAGATTCCGGCCTGGCCGAGAACCCACTCATCGGTCACCACATGAGGTCCATCCTCGGTGATTCCCGCCATGAGTCCTACAGTAGCCTATGGAAAACGGCGCCTGCAGGGTTGTTATTAAATGGGGTTCGCGGTGCCAACCGAGGACGAATCCTACGGCTGATAACCTGCGAAAGGGTTTGAAACAGAGTTTCGGGATGGATAAAACAGGCCCTAACCCACCAACAAGAAGAGACCACCTTATCCCCCCGGTCCCAAGGGCAAAGCAGTTGCCCCCGGCCGGCACTAACACGAACCAAAGGGGGTGCCTCGTTGTAACAAGAAGGAACCAAGCAGAAGCGCGGCACAGCGCAAAGCAGGCAAGCAAACCAGCAGCAAGCAGCACCAAGCGAGCAAAGCAAGCAATAGCAGCGCACTCCAACCAAGACCCGACCCACCTCCGGGACCAAGACCACCGCCCCGGCAACGACGGCTGCGGCACCGCGCAGCCGGCGTGTGGAGCGCCGCGGACTCTTTCCGACGAAATGGCGAGAAACGGTTGCCGAGTGAAAAGCTTGAGCCAAACGGCGCATTGGCCATGGCAATAATCAAACATGCTATGATAAACGTACATGCCCCCAAAAACAAAAACACATTCCCGTGCTCGCTTTCTCTTTGACTTTTGTTTGAACCCCCCCTCGAGACCCCAAGCGGAAAATGGACACATAGTTTGCGAGATGCTTTTTTGGTGCAAAAGGAAAGGCTTCCCAGAAGTTCTCACAAGGATTGGCCCAAACGAGTCTGAACATCTTTTTTGCCCTCGTTGCTTCTTGGATCCTGTACATGGGGCGTCCCATTGGTTTCCCTATAGCGCAAACGTCCCACAACAAGATACCTCCAAAAAGCACGAAGCCACACATCGTCTTGCAATATAAGGGGCTCAACAATAAAACACTGGACATAATCTGGCTTCACAGCCCGTGGAAGAACAAGAAGGCGCAGTTTGTGTTGGGCAGTTTCTTAAAGAAAGTCATAATCAAAAGCTTTTACTTTAACGCGGCCTACCCAAAACCGAGTAAAGAAGTAAACAGGTGTCCCTTCTCCGGAGTCTACGGGTTTTGATTGTGGCTCAAGGGAACCCCATCCACTGGGTTCCACTTGTTGACTGAAGGTAGACTTCAACGCAGGGGTGGTTCATTACCCGCAAAAAAGGGAACCCCCGCGTGTCGACAAGTAGAACCCTGCCCCTCCAACCAACAAAACCTCAGTTGTTCAGTGACCCTGGAAAAGAAGAATTGGAACCTTTTTTGGGGTCTTCCTTCAGTGGGGCAGCCACCCAACAAAAAAAGGGAAAAAGGGTGCCACTGAACCACTGAGAAACCTGGTTCATTAGCCCCAAAAGGGGAACCCCCGGGTGTCGACAAGTGGAACCCTGCCCCTCCAACAACAAAAGCCAAATCCACGCCACTCGACCGATGACTCGACTCGACTCGGCGACTGAACTCCGCCTGCTGGGGCGGCGGGGGCGCTCTGCCGCGACCCCGGTTGTCCAGCACATCCTGCGTCGAAAAGGATGAACGGCTCCGGGTGAAAAACAACAACGAGCATAGGTGTCCTTTCTGGCAAATAGATGGCCCTGGTAGTTGATTGAACCACCAGGTAAACCAGGAATCACCCTCTATTTTTCAGCCAATCAACCAAAAAGGACACCTATGACAACGAGGTGAACCTACAAACCAAAAAGGAGGTGAGCCTTAAAGAAACAAAACACACAACTAGCACGAATTAAGGCTCTTTTGGAACTTTGGGTAAGAATGGTGAAATGGGATGTTGTTCCATGGGAGACAAAAGGGAGCACACCATCAGCGACACGTAGGCATTGGCCGCTTTGGGGTTGCAGGGCTCCAGAACTTGTCGATTTTTGAGTTTGTCGACTAGGTGCCAAAATCACGGGGAACACCCCGCCCTTTTCCCGGTGACCCTCACAAAAAATACAAAGCCCATTCCAATGGCAAGGAACCGGTTTCCTTTGGGTTGCCCTTGCAATCATGGCGGATGCCAACAAGAAACAGTTACTTGCCTGTCCACTTGGAACTCAGCGGGTCTTTTTAGAACAGTCTCTTGGACCTCTTGTTCCATGTTTGCACGTGACATCACGTGCCCTTTAGGGGCAAAAGGTTTGCTTTCTCCACGACATGATCAAAGACTGGAAGACCCAATGGCCAACTTGTCTTGGTCAATGTTCAAGGGATTGAAACGAATGCGCCAGCATCATTTCAGAGGGTAAAGATGCGTTGGCAGAGGTCGCTTTGGAATTGCACATTTTGTTTTTTCTCCGCATGTCTAGGGTCGCCGTGTCAAGGGCCAGGAAAAACTATACCCCTTTGAAATGTTGGTCTGGGAATGGGTCCTAGGCTTTGGCTCCGGCACTTTGACAGGCGAGCCTCAACCGGAGTGGCTGGCAGCTGGGTCCGATTCTTTGGGCTTTTGCAAGCCTCTTTTGGAAGAGAAACCTCCAAGACACCAAGCAAATTGTCATGTTGGCTGCCTCTGGCTCTCGGATACCCGCTCAGCGCCCTTAGGGCCTTGCCTGCAAGGAAGCCAGGGATTGGACAGCGGAAAACCAAAAAAACCATCGAGGCCGGCAGTGGCTATCCTTTGACTCGCGGCAAGGGAAACTCAGAGGCAGAGTGCTCATGTTGTCAAGAAAGCACATACACACTCAAATCACCCATGTTTGAGGTGGGGGGTCTTGACAAACTGGGCTGTCCTCTTTTGGCCCTGCTAAAAGTTTCGCTTTTTTGGTGGGCTAAATTGAAACCCAACCACGAAAACACAGCTAAAAAGCTAAAAAACAACCCGATGGTTGGGAACCACTAAGTACAGACAAACAAACAAACAAACAAACAAACAAACAAACAAACAAACAAACAAACAAACATCCATCCATCCATCCATCCATCCATCCATCCACCCACCCACCCACCCACCCACCCACCCACCCACCCACCCACCCACCCACCCACCCACCCACCCACCCACCCACCCACCCACCCACCCACCCACCCATCACACACACCTTGCCCTTCGAGCGATGTATTTCTCCTGGCTGGGCGGTGGCAAGTCTGTGGGCTGGCGCTGTGGCACAGGCAGTGGCCGGTTGATGTCGTCGCAGTCCTGGAAACCCGGGGTCAAACCCCACGTTCTTCACAGGAGCTCAGCCAACCAAATGGAGGGAACCATACCCTTTCTTGCAACAAGCGAGATCAAGCGAGACCCTCCAAGATTCAAAAGGGTGGAACAAACAAACTAAATGATCTATACGCATGCATGTGTACAATTATCTGACCCACCAAAATGGGGCTTGGCTCCCCCGAAGTGCAGAGACCCTCTAAGGATCAAAAGGGTGAACCAAATACATAATGCGTAGAATATGTACGTATATGTATATAGATATATACACATGTCGTACACACATATCTTTTCTCATGTCAAGTAGCAGGGTTCTCCTTTTCAGTTTCAAAACTAGGCGGCCCTCCGGTTGCCCCAAGCATCCACAAATACATTGTCTTTAGTAAGACTCCCCGGGCTCACAAAAACGTTTCACAAGCCAACCCCATACGCGTGTGTCATGTTGGTTCTTTCAAACCACCAACAAAGGGTACCATCAACAAAGAACCAGACCCAACCAGTTACAGTTACGGCACGATTGCCCGAAAGTGGTTGCATCATCCCTTTTTCTCCCATGCATAGACAAAACGAGGCGCCGTGTACTTTCGCTCTGGTCTAGTTTTAGCACACCGCCCTGAGGCAAAGAAACATGACGAATTCGCCAGGTCACGTGCTGCAGTGCCGAATCAATGAAGAGTCCCTCGTACAGAGCCCGCACGCATGCCACTGCCGAAGTACAAAAGGGTTACATGGTCATGACGACAAGCTGGCCTGACCTCGCGCTGCCCTGACCTCGCAGAAGTACGTGCTTTCGATGATCCCAGTGATATGCGATGAGGCGTGCCCTTGTGGGTGAGTCTTGGACAGGGCACCCGTTCGCAGCGAGAAAAGCGAGTATGCGCCCAACAACCCCGCAACAGCGTGGAACCTCCCTGAAAGCTGCAACCCAAACCACCACCCCAGAGCTTTTCTGGCCAGAGATACCTTCCAGCTGTTGGGGAAAACTACTGCTTGACTATAATATGGCACCTAGTTCAGACCCCGCGTGTCCAGGGCAAAATGGGGCTATGGAATTCCAGAGTCCAGTGTCCTCTTCCCTGATCTGTATCCGTGTAGCGTCAAAGAGTCCATATGGAGGTTTCTCAGACCAGGGGTTCCCTGTTGGTTTCTTTTTGGTCTCCTTCGAATACCAAAAGGACGTCCACCATTTTTAGAAGCTCCCATATCATCTCTACTCTTGGTATGGTAGCAAAAACTTTGTTGTTTGCAGACCCCCAGTAAAAATGAACAGAACCAAACAACTAAAAAACAAAAAAACATGCGAAGAACATTGAAGATATGCTACATCTCACAGTTCAAGGCAAACCTTTCGGCCGAGAGTCCTGCTTCGAGAAGCTCCCTTTGCGCTTTGGTCCGGCTGAGGGACAACCAACAGAGATCACCTTTTGAGACACGCCGATTCCAGAGCTTTCAAGCTACATTCCTGCAGATTAACAACAACATGCAAAACTGCACTTTGTAGGAGGAGTCTTGCAGGAACGCTTCAAGGAGGGCAAGGACAGACAAGAAGCCTTCCGTCCTCAGACATGTCCGAGACCTTCCGGATGCTGAAGGACACGCAGAGCTGGACCTTGGGAAAGGACTTCTGGAACTGCCGCAGGGCGCCCAGGCCTCGGAGGCCCGGAGGCTCGGAGGCTCGCAAGGCGCCACCCCCCGGCCAAACCGTGTGCATCTCGAGGGAACATGGCCGTGGTCAAGAACTTGCTGGCGCGAGTTGAGGGAAGGAGCCGTTTTAGGAGGGGAAAAACACATGGCAGGGAATGAGGGAATGAACCATGTGGGGATTCTCGAATAAAGGAAACCATAGGAATTGGATGGTTTGAGTCGGGGTCGTTCCATGTCTCATTCCCGACAAAACGTGCACCAAGGAAATACATACCTCTTGTCAACAGGAACTCATGGGACCTGACGTTTCGGGGACTGGTTCCTTCCCTCCGGTGAGCTCCATGGCAACATGGACATGAGGCAAAATGGGTTTACATAATTACATAAATAACTATGATTTTAGTATTGTTTTTAAACCATGACTAAGACATGTTTAAACATAATCAAATTAATTTAATGAGTTTTTTTGTGAAACACTCACTTAAGCTAAATTTAATATAAACTCATATGTTTGTTCAAGATTAAATCGTAGTTAATCTTTTTGTGAAATACAACATGAACAATAAATGCATGGGAAGCCTTCACCTGGAACCTAACCCGTACAAAAACAAAACACAAGAAACCGCAAAATAAACCAAAACGGACCAGGGTGGACTTAGCGTCCGACACCATTTCGCGTTATCCAATAGGCGACTGGTCCTTGTACGTTTGCTGGGACAAACCTAGCAACACAACACTAGGTGGACTTTGTCCAAATGAGCTGTCCCTTCCCTTGACACCCAGAACCATGGAAATTCACATGGGTGGTTTTCATGACTTGAGTTACTTCTTCACTTTGAGTCACTGGGCAAAGTGTAAAAAAATGCCTCGAATCCCAAGTCTACCCCAATCTTCAATTTGTTTGGCCATGGGTCAATACCCAAATCGTACCCCCCCGTGAACATGCCAATCCAACCACTAAAAGAATGGAAGCCGAACATGGGTGGTGAATTCACCCCAACCAAAATATTCCAACCACTGAAATAGGTTCTAGAATGGGTGGGGCACCTAAAAACAACAAAACTGGGTGGGGTACCTACCAACCAAAATGGGATTTTTCCCTTGAACGGTTTTGAACCATGGCCGTTAACGGCTCCAAGCCACAGGAGAGGCAGGGCATCTCGCTCACGTCCAGCCGCACCAGGCCCTCGGTGATGCCTGAGCCCAGCAGCTGGTCCTCAGTCGCAGATCCCAGCGGCTGGGGGATCGATCCATGTCCTCTGAGCCATGGGAGGGGCTAGGTCCTTGCTCAAACATGTTTCTTTTGCACCCTCTTGATTGAAACACCCACCCTTTGGGTTTCCTATGGACGAAATCCGTTTCGCACTTGGAAATCATGGTTGAAACCATGTGGTTTGTTGGCATTTACAGGGGCAGCATCATTCCAGGGATCCTCGGGTGGTGCGAAAGGGATTTCATCCATCCACAGTATCATCCCAAAGAGGTCCGATTCCGATTTTGACTAGGTCCTCCAGTAGAGAGGTTGGAATAAGGGTACCCGATTTTTTCGGTAGTATATTTTAGCATGGGAACCCTCCCCCAAACAAGTTGGTAAAAGGGCACCTAGCTGGGGGACCTACTGGGGTTATCTTTGAACATTCGTAGCCATATATGTGCTAATGGACCATCGACTCTTTGACTTCAAGACGAGTTCACTAGTGATGTCTTCCAGGTAGCTCACAAGGGCGATTCAACATGTAAAGGCTAATTGTGTCTTTGTCCTAAACGCCTTTTGGAGGCACACATGGTACTTGAAAATTGAGATCAGCGCCATCTGTGCGAAACCACACTTCCGCTTGTAACTCTCTGCCAGGCAGCGGCAGCCTTGTTAAGGACCTGGAACTCCGCATCGTTGGAGCGAGAATGTTCCACGACGCACGCGACGAACCTCGGCTCTTCAGCTCAGAGCGGCACGGGACCAAAGGGCGCTCCCTTGGCTCGTTCTGGATGTGAGGGACGCGAAGGCAAAGATGGGAATGCACTTCCTTGTCATTCCAATGGCACCTACTCGCCCCAAAACGATCTCTGGGAGGGCAACAAACGGAGAAGAAAAAAACAACATTTTTGACTGGACCCCTTGTCAGGCAAAAACACATTTTTGACTGCATCCGTTGTCAGGCGCCCTGACAACAAAGCACGGCTACCCGTGAACCCCGAACCCTCGCCGCACGCCGGGGCGCCGGATGGGCTCCTCCATGGGAGTGCCGCTGGCAGTGACCGCCGGGCCTTGCCATCCGGACCCCAAGCGGAGCTGATACGTGCAGGTGGTCCTCAGCGCAGGGCCGGGAACTACCCTCACGTCAAACATACCTGGCCGTGGGCCAAAACCAATGGTTCATAATGGCTCCATTTTGGTTGGTAGGTGCACCACCCTTTTTGGAGCATATTTTAGTGGGTGGATTTTGACCCGTGGCCACCTTTCAGGAGGGTCCTGGACGACCATTTTCCTTTGAAATGGACCCCCTGGTGGCTTCCATGTTTGTGGGACAGAGGGTAATGAGACACTTTCAACTCGGACACGGTGAAAGGGCCGTTTAGAGACGACCCTCCCATTAGACCCATGTCCCGGTTTTCTGCTCAGGACCCGAACTCGAGGCCACCTACATCTCCGCCCGGTTGCATCTCAACCCGTCGAAAGCTGCGGGTCCAATGCGCCGATCTCTCGGGTTCCGTTGCGATCTGAATGTGACATGATCCAACACTCCTCTCATACTCTCCTTCCTGAGCTCCTATGCAACCTTCTCGGAATATGTTGCTGCTAAAAGCCAGCGGAAGAATGCGGGGGAACAAGACATTGCACCATCCATTTCCCCAGCCAAGCTGTCGAATTGGGCACGGAGGTTCGATGGATAGCAACCAAAAGGCGACCTTCAAACAACCCAATGCCTTTGGGTGATCCAAAAGCCGCCCACAAACATACGTGACCTTTCGACAAAAGAGATGGCCCAGGTACATGTTAAATAAAACCCAAGCTAATTTATGTCTATCCAAACTAACCGATCAAAACTCGGTTGCGTTCTGCTCCCCTGCTAAAAGTGAATAACTTCTAGTGGTTTAATACGGAAAACTCATTCGTTGGCAAAACGCTAAAGTCCTAACATCCGTTGGCAAAATGCACCAAAGAAAAGGACACCTATGCCTGTGTGTGTTTCTCTTCAGGAGTCTTGTGCTTCATGGTGGCGTCGTTGGGGTCCTGCTCGTACAAGGCCTGGATGTTCCGCAGAAGCCACTCCTCGGGCCCCAAAGAAGAGTAGGGCTGACAGCAGATGGTCAAACAAAAGAGATTCATTATACCAACCCCCTTTAGGTTAGTCGGGGAAGATTGTCAACCCTGCAAAAGTTCAGAGATGTTGCTGCTAGGAACATGTCATCTTCCAAAAGGCCAAATGTAGGGCAAACAGGGGCCATTAAGTTTAAATTAAAGGATTGTTTGTGAATTACCTTCATGTCCACTAACATGGAAGCCACCAAAAGGTCTCTGGTAAAGGACATGTGTCTTCCAGCACCCTTTCTGTGAGGTTCGCGAATGAGAGAGTACTGATTGAAATGCAACTGCTTCCCCACGGCCGGTTTTCAGAACTTCGCCCGGCCCCGGATCCGAAAACCGAAAACCGAAGATCGGATCGCCTCCCCGCCTCCCGCATGCGCCGCAAAGGCATGAAGAGCTCGGGGTCCTCCTCTAGCATGCCCAGGCCCCGCAGCAGCCTCAGTGGAACGACCTTTCGGCTGAGAGACCCAGTTGAACTCCCCCCAAAGGAAAGAACACCGATGCGGACACCAAAAAGGACACCAACACCTAAGGAAACACAAGCTTGAAACAAACATGCAACATGGGCCCTTTGCCTCTGGGAAAGCGTTCGTCCTATAAGAGTCGACCATCCGCAACGCTGCGTGCTGGATGTGCGTCTGACTGAAAAGGCGCCTTTGAGGTCCAAGAGCCCCTCACGTCCATGTGCTTGTTGGGTGGGGCTAAAATTCCAATTGGTGGATTGAGCTTGTAGGATAACACCAAAGCTAAAAAATGAAAACACAGAAATCGATGTGCATCATATTTTGTTTGTACAATATTTGGCAAACTGAGATTGTATAACACCAAAGCTGGTATGACAAACTGGAAGGCCAAAGCTGGTATGACAAACTGATTTCAAGGCCCGTTATACAGCGCTAGGGTCCTGGCCACTGGATTTTGGACACTGAGGTGGATGATGGATGTTAACTCCATTTTCTTTGGCCTTGAAGCCAACGGACCTCTCAACAGCTGTGATTTTGTCATGGGCCGAGACAGAAACCCAAGTGAAAACGACATGCGATTCACAGTGTTCAAGCATTTCAACTGCTTGCCTCATGCCATACTTACTCCCTGAGTTGATGAGCCAAAAAAGTGAATAACAATAACAATAACAATAAAAATAATAAGAAGAATAAGACTAATAATATATACTAACAATAATAATAATAATAATAACAACAATAATAATAACAATAATAATAATAGTAATATATATATACTTTAACAAAAAAAGAAGAAACAAAAACGACGGCCCAACCTTTGCAGCTCGCGGCTCGCAGGTCATGCGCCTGCCCAGCTGGATGGTCTTGAAACCGGTGACCTCACAGCGATCTCAGGCACGAGCAATCCCAACCGATGCTCCGGTGCGGCCCATGCGTCCCGAAAACGCGACTTCGAAACACAGCCGAGAAAAACATGGGCGGCGAAACTGGAAACCAACCAAACGAAAAAGCGACGAACCGCGACGGCACGAGAAAAATACACTTGAGGCCAGGATAATCCCTGAAAGCACGACAAAAGCGACTCATGACAGGATTGTCCCTTTCAACATGGAAGGCTGGTACCTGAGCAACCAGGAAGGAGGGATGGGATATGACTGGGCAACGGGAAGCGCATGGACGTTTCGTCTCGAAAATTGGGACAGAATCTTTTCCGGTTTCAACGGAAGACCTAAAACGCAATGCAAAAATAGGCCACCTGGACTCCCAATCTAGCCTGTGATTCCTTTTCGATGGACCCCGATTC